CAGGGAGGCAGTGAAGGACAGGAAGGCCTGGCGCGATATGGTTCATGGGGTCATGAAGAGCCAGACATGACTTAACGACTGAACAACAATAAATACCAGTAAGACCTTCAGCATTCAGTTCTTGCAAAATCAAAAATATGCAAACATCTTTTGTAGAAATACTGAAGTATTTCTACAGGTAGTCCTTGACTTATGACCATTCAACCATTCAAAGTTACAACGGTGCTGAATGAATGATGGTTATGACTGGTCCTCGGAGTTACAGCTGTCACAGCACCCGTGGTCATGTGATCACAATCTGGGTGCTTGGCAACCCGTTTGCACTTACAACCGGTTACCAAGCACCCCACGATTACATGATTGCCATTTGCAACCTTATCTCCTGGCTTCCCTGGAAAATCAATGGGGAAGCCGGCAGGGAAGGTCACAAGTTGCTGGGATAAGTTTCCCTCACCCGTGCACCCTCTCCAGCCTCTCTGTGCCCATGCTGCACCCGCCACTTGTGCACTCCTGTGCACCCTCCCCAACCTGCACCTCTTGCACACCCTCCCCACTGATGCGCATCCTCCCCGACCCACGCGGCACCTCTCATGCATCACTGCACACCCTCCCTGACCTGCACTTTCATGCACCCTCCCCAACCCATGTGGCACCTCTTGTGCACCACCATGCATCCTCCCCGACCTGTGTGGCACCTCTCACGCACCTCCATGCACCCTTCCCAACCTGTGTGGCACATCTTGCGCACCTCCACGCACCCTGTGAACCTTCCCCAACCCTTGTGGCACCTCTCATACACCCCTGGGCACCCTCCCCAAACTGCACAGCACCTCTCGCTTACTCCTGCACACCCTCACACACCATCCCTGATCCTCCCTGACACCCCTTCACTCCCTCCCCCACCCGGCAGCAGCCACTTACCTGTCTGCCGACCTGGGACTTTGACTTTGGTTGTGGGAAGCCAGCAGGAAGTTGCCTTACCTAATGACTATGGGGTTCAGTTAACGATGGCAACTGGGACTTCTGGGACTGCTATCATTAAGGGATGCGGTCGTGCTTTATGACTGCATCCCTCAGCGATGGAAATTCCAGTCCCCATCCTCGTTGTAAGTCAAGGACTATCTGTACTTAACTATACAGAGTTACAGTCATGATTTACTTTGGCACACTAAATACAAATCAATAATACACTATTCTTATCTGGAATGGGGCACTGAAAGTAAACATAGTATTTATTATTTAGCTGCAACAGAAGAAACTAGAAGATGCTCAGAGAGAAGACATGAACCAATATACTTACCGAGTCCTGGTTCCATAATTTTATAATTCGTGAATCAGCAGAAATAATCAGATCTAATGCATTGTGGAACTGGACTGATTTGACTGGCAGACCATATTGGTGATCCTTCATTATTAATGGATTACTCGATCGAAGATCATAAAGTAAGACCTGGTAGCCAGAAAAGATAGGTCAATTTTTGTGGTCAGGTATTGTTTAATAAAATCTAAGACATACATTTACATTCTCAAATTGAAAATAGTAAAAAGGAGAGATTTTGGTTTATTAAGTATTCTGTAAACCTACCACATGGACTTTTAATCAACAAAATCTATTAAAATAATGTATAGTACTGGGTCTGCAAATTAAGCAGTATTAAGTATTCTTTTATTTAGCATAACTATTAGATCTTTTTATTAAAACACTATGGAGCAGAAAAGCTGTTGTAGCCTAGCTGAACCCTCATCTCATTATATATTTGGCAAGTCCCTGTTTGTATGTCGCAAAATACAAGAATTTTGGGTCAGATTGCAACTTGCTAGAGTGGATCATCCAGCCATGAGTTTGGTTGGCTTACAGTAATCTCATTACATTCAAGAACAGTGTTTCATTCACCCTTTAAAACTTTAGAGAAGTTAGAAGAACAATCCCCTGGCCTACGAATTATACTAATATTCCATTGCGTTTGGTTTTGTTTGGTTGGCTGCTGTTGTTGCTGTTGTTGTTTTACAGGAAAGCACCGCAAGGAGCACTCATCAATGGCCCAACTTAATACGCAACGTATCAACTAACCCCTTGAAGAACACAAAAGAATAAGCAGACTTAGACTTGCTTTAGAATTAGGCAATCTGAATTACAGAACGTCTAACACCACATTCCCCTCACAAGCTCAACTCATCTGATTATGTGAACATCCCATTCAAAGCACAGTCTCGTCCACACTTCACTTTAACATCCAGAGAGTTTACTTAAGAGCCTTTAAGGAGTGCAGCGAGGAGGTGCGCAGCATACCTGCCCTGTGGTTGTCCCGACAGCCATCTTTAAACTTCCATCAAACTTCAGGGCGGAAACCGAGGGCAGGCCACCTATCCTGAGAGAATTCAAATACATTTCACTCAGGTACAGTAATATATACAGTAATTATATATACAGAATATTACGTGGGAGAGGTATTTATGAAGAATATCAAGAAATGTCCTTACTCTTGATCAGCGGTCACACTGTTTAAAGCACAATCCAAGACCCCAACTCGACTTCTCAGTCTAGGATCCCAGCATTCCACCTTTCCCTGAGGGGGAAAAAAAAACACCACTCAGTACTCTGAAATAATTCGCCACGGTTTTGTCTCTTGATCTGCTTTTTACAGAAATCACTGAATTACTTTTCAAGGGGATCTTTGGAATAATGCACACTTATTCCTCCAGTTTAAATATTTTGCTGCATTCAAATCTGACATGATTTTTCTCAGTTCTGAACAACTCAGGAGATTCAAAAGGCAGAACGACACAGAGCATCAGCAGAATATCGGGCAGCTGAATTATTTAGAGTGCCCTGAACTCTGTTAGGGGAGAAAGGGCCATAAGATCCAGTTAGTGTAAGCTATGATTGTCTGGCTGAGCATTTAGCCGGTAAAATTGTTTGTCATCACTCCTAGTTGGAAGCTGGATAGAATCCGATGACATTACAGAGGCAATGTCTAGCAGGATTATCCAGGAGGTTTTTGAGCTTCAGAAAGTGAACAGGCTTTTTTATCCATGGCAGTGTGGATTCAGGCCTGTCTACTCAGGAATAAACCTTGTTGAATTCGATAGGACTATACCAACCTACTTTTAGATAAAAGGGTACAGAAGTGAAGCTTCGATAAATGTTAATTATTATTTAACTTTTTATAGTAAGAATGCCTCCAGCCAAAATATTATATCAAACACAGACAATTTCTCCCGCCAGCAATCTCCTTTTCCAGGACATGCTTTTCCATTTCCCAGTTATCTTTTCTCCTTTCCAAAAATCAATATTCTCTGCCCAACATTTATTGAGATTCTCCTGCTATCATTTACCACTAAAATTTTGGAGATGATTTTAACTATATTTCTAGAAACTTTACACTTCTCTTTTATCTTCTGCTATCTCCCACTTCTGCATGAGCAATACTGTTCTGACCAAAAATGGAACCATCTCTGGAGAATGAGCGTGCTGTTAGTTTTAAAGTCACTTACCTCAACTGTCCCAGTGGCAAATAAACCATGTACAGGATTTATGTCACATACTTGATTTTCTCTAGAAAACAGCAATAATAAATGTTTAATACAGACAGGGAATAAAATCCTAAAAAATCAAGCTTGTCAGAAATATTAAAGCCAATCAAAACGTATAGAGACCAGAAATATTATAAGACAAACTGAATCCAGTGGCTTACGTTTGCATTACTCTATTTTGTTTCTGATGTAAAATATGCAACATAATATAAATATAAAACCAGGAACTATCACAGAAGAAATAAGCAAGCCCTTGCTTTTCTTCTAAAATATCTCAAATACAAATGTCTATTCTTAATAGGCCATCCTGGCTCCATCTGCAGGTGATTCTAACAAATGCCTTATAATCTATAATATAATCTATAATGGGAGTGCCCCGGGGGATGTGTGTATTTAAAGTAGCTTCTCCTGGGGAGAGCAAGCCCTCAGCATTCAATTATTCTTAGTTCAAATGGAATGAGAAGCTATGTTAGCACAGTGAATCAACTTATTTTACAACTTGTGGAAAGAAAAGAGCAAAGCATAAATAAATAAATAGATAGATAGATAGATAGATAGATAGATAGATAGATAGATAGATAGATAGCGAGCTACAGGCAGGAAGATCCCTCTGCTTCTCCTGAACTATTCAGTTGATTTTAGAATTAGTGTAATGTACAAATGCTGACAATGAATATTGGATGACAATTAATAATGTTAAACATGTATATTGTACATACATATATTTATTTATATTTCAAATTTGTCACCACCCATCTCACTGCAGATATATACGGTACGTACACACATACACACACAAATACCAATACCAGATTGTTTATAAACTAGTCTGTGATCCATCTATGGTGTTTTCACAGACAGATCTTATACTGTTTGGCTCCATCTACTGGAAAAAGATGCCTACGTTAAAAAGCAGAAGATACACTTACGAAGCATCTGTCTGTAGAGAATTCAAATACCTTCCTTGTTCCAGATTTAGTCTGTATATTTCAGAGCTGCAACAAGAAAGAAAATACTCATTTTCCTTATGATTACTGAGTCTTACAAAGACAGATAAAAATCATGCAAGCTCCATGGAGAATACCTACTTTTTGGCTTTGCAATGAGATTTCCCAACAACTCTGGAAAAACTGGGTATATTTTTAAAAACCCACTCTTTATTCACACCCGAAAGTGGTGAGGTCTAAAATGAAGTGAATTTGGGTTGTAAAACAGGGATGGGCAAGCTGAGAGGATCCCAAGGCTTACCAAAAGGAGCCAGGTACAAAACAGTGGCTCAAATTGATGATATATGCTTAGAAATAAGGAACCTGCTCCTTCTAGGCATACCTTTAGGACAGATATTGGAGCCAAGGCTGACAAGCCTTTTCACACAAAAATCCATCTCCTGTTTCCTCGCCAAACATTATTTTTTTAGTTACTTAATTAGGAGTCTGAGTGGGTGGCAGTAGCTGCCTGACTCTGTCTGGACAAAACAGCTAAGCAGGGTCAGGCCTGGTTAGTACTTCGATGGGATTCCTCCAGGGAATACCAGGGCTCTGTATTGGGAGTGGGAGATTGAAAAAAAATCCCAGTAGTGCAAAATACTTTTGCATTTTTGTAAAGAAAACGGCATGGACCTATCTATACAGTCAACCTACCTCGAAGGGCTGACCATTCTTATACTTCCATGGAAAGGACTGTTTTATGTTTCAAAGCTGCCATTACACTTTAAAAAACACTTTTTAAAAATGTCATTTAATTTTCCAAGATTTCCAGTTATGATTTTTCAGTGCTTTTAAAAATGTTTTAAAAATGAATTTAGATCCTCAGTCATTCACAAAATTGAAATGTGCCACAAATATATCAGGAAACTATCTGATTTCTGAAAAGCACTGCATATTTGTGCTTGACCTATGCAGAAATGCTTATAATTCCATCTCTTCACTGAGGAGTAGTCAAAGCTATTTCCCATAAGCACTATAGGAAAATAAAAGTAGAATTAGATAATGATTCAAAACATCACCCATACCTTGCTCCTACAAAGTATAAGTCACAGGATGGATAATGATATGAGAAATCTCTTCCAAATTTTGGTATTCTTGTCCTGTAGTAACGGCCATGTTGTGAATGAAATTCCACATATCTGTCACTATGCAAGAAAACTATCTGAAAAATACAAGCCACAGAACTGAATTTGAGAGGATTATTCCTCCCAGCTGATACACTTATTTTTTGCAGCCTCATTAACAAAACAGTTGTTTAAAATAAAGAATTTATCATTCAAAAAATATAACCATGTAAATCTTTGAAAGTATGCTCTGCTTCAGGAATCGTTCCCACTAGGGCTTTTTTGAAGCAAAGCTGTGAAGTAAAGCAGTACCACACTTATCTTCAGCGACACAGAGTGGCTCTATTTCTGCATACAAGCAGCCTCTCTCTGTACACAATAGCTACTGTTTGTACAGCAGTCCCCTGAGGCAGATCAGACTCTGCCTCATCTCTCTGTCAAGGTGGACCAATGCATATCCATGAAGTGCTTTTTCTCACTGAGAAAAAGGTATATGGCAGGAGTTTAGAGAAAACTGCAGTATGATTTTTACCTGAGTACATTCACACATCAGGCTAAGCCATGATTTACCAAAAAACCCACAGCACATTCAAACACAGCCAAGCTAAAATTAGGCTTTAAGATAGTGTGTGATCCTAGTCAGAATAGATACCTTTCAAACAGTTTTCACCTGCAATACTACAAATTTGGCCAAAACTGATTTAACATTATTTGGAGTGACATGTTTATTCCCGCAAGCTGCACCTGCATGTCAGCTATGCTATTTACTTCCTGCTAATTAGCAAGGTGGTTAAGGGTTCAAGTTCAAATCTCTGTTCAGCCTTGACCACAGGCTCTTTCAGCTTTGGTTCACCATCGGCCTGATGGAAAACAATACTTTCTTTAAAAGGAGGGCGGAGCTGGCGTCGCAGCGGTACGGCGGGGGGGGGGGGGGGG